CATAACTTGTAATACAGTGTGACAACTACTCATCTATTTATGGCCATTATCCTAATAATTCACTAGTTTAGTGATCCTGGCTGTTTGAAACTCAGCTGATTACTGTGTGACTCTGGCTGAAACCAAGGTTATTAGTAGTTCTACATACATATATCTAGCTAAAAGTGTAAAACAATCTCTATAATAAAATGAGATATATTAAACATTCTGACCAACTGTTCATGAAAGTAATAAAGAAATAATTGAAGGAACACGTAAACATAGCTGTTAACAAATGAGCAAGAACCATTTTTCATGTTTATGAACACTTTCATTGTCATTCATTTTAATTTGATAACATTTTTTAATAATGAAAAAATATTGAAAGTTAAAAGATAAAAGAAGCTTTACAAATGAAACAATCAAAATATATATATAGAGATGTTTTGTGATTTATTTCAGGTTATTTTATATCTGGTTAAAAGTCAGTACGTTTTATATTTCTTATACTTATCGTGCGAAACATTACACTTATTTCAGTAGCTCAATCGTAAACTTGAGGGCTTGTAACATTAAAATTCAGGGTGTGATACCTGCAAAGGGTGCAGCACATATCGACTACTGTTCAAATTGGAAGATGTGTACTTCTAGAAAAACAATAATTTATTATGGACTTACCTGATGATGCCAGGTTAATATGGTGAAACATTATAGGTGGTTACGTTATCAGAAACAAACAAGATTGTTGCCCATTTTATGTAAGCGAATGTTGGTATGAGATTCAGTTGTCCTAAAGATAGACATGAGATGTTGGTGAAACATTATAGGTGGTTACGTTATCAGAAACAAACAAGATTGTTGCCCATTTTATGTAAGCGAATGTTGGTATGAGATTCAGTTGTCCTAAAGATAGACATGAGATGTTGGTGAAACATTATAGATGGTTACGTTATCAGAAACAAGCAAGATTGTTGCCCATTTTATGTAAGCGAATGTTGGTATGAGATTCAGTTGTCCTAAAGTGATTTAAGATAAACATGAGATGTTGTTTAAGCATGATCATTCATATCCTGTTATTTTCAGTTTAAATTAATTATTGTTGTTTTTGTTTTTTTACTACCTACAGTAGATGATATCATTTGTTTGACGATTGGTTTCTCCCATAACTGTACTTTATTTTCTGCACCTTTTTTTCTGGGTTCTTTTGGTGGTGGCTGCTCTTGTGGAAGAGACAGGATCTTCAAGAATCGACACCAGTATGTACAATCCGTAAATTGAACTTAAAGACATATTCTCATCACAGTTAGGTTTGAATAGTTAAAAAGTGCCTTTGTATCAAAAGCTAAGGTATTAATCATTTAGCTCAGTTGGAAAGAGTGCACTCTTTATCATCTCATTTGCACTGGGATTAAATAAACATATATCGAGATACTTAGAACACACAAATTCATCACACTGAAAAAGTCAGTAGCCAAGACCCAAGAGCATGTAATGTCACTTTATACGTTTCAAATAATGTAATTATGTTACTTTCCATTTCTTTTGTGTAGTTAAAACAAAATTCAGAACTTGTGGATTTTACGTTTCTAGTTTACTTAACGTGAAGCAGTGGAATGATGATTAAAATTAAATATATCTAACAATAAAGTGAGACCAGCTAAATAAAACAGGTCACTTTAAATATATAAAGTAACAGTAGTTACTTTATACTGGTTGTATAAACACTGGCTGTACTCCATTAACAGCAAGGTTTCCTAAACGATCAAATAATGCATTCTACTCTTTATAAAAAAGAATGTAAGTAAATATATTAAAATGAATACCAGACTGATTTTTTAGTTTTTGCTCCTAGTAAGTAGCTTGCCGTGATTGGAAGTTAATATAATTCATATTGTTCCTAGTGAGTAGCTTGCTGTGATTGGACGTTAATATAATTCATGTTGTTCCTAGTAAGTAGCTTGCTGTGATTGGAAGTTAATATAATTCATATTGCTCCTAGTAAGTAGCTTGCCATGATTGGAAGTTAATATAATTCATATTGTTCCTAGTAAGTAGCTTGCTGTGATTGGACGTTAATATAATTCATATTGTTCCTAGTAAGTAGCTTGCTGTGATTGGAAGTTAATATAATTCATATTGTTCCTAGTAAGTAGCTTGCTGTGATTGGACGTTAACATAATTCATGTTGCTCCTAGTAAGTAGCTTGCTGTGATTGGAAGTTAATATAATTCATATTGT